TATACATTTCAGGACATTAAAGCTTTTTTTTTTTTTTTTAAAAGGTACTCGAAAGCTTTTTTTTTGTTTTGTTTTGAAGTCTTACCATAGTTATATTCTATGCCCATTTATCAACTGTAAAAGTTGCGTCTTTTTTTTTTTTTGAAATCACGGTCACTGGATTTGATGATCTCACGCAAAACGCATTTTTCATTTTTTCACTAAACCACATCTGTTGTATTTTCATTTGTTCGATGGAGCCGTTTGTGGCAGAAAAGAGCGTAATTTTCAAATAAAGAGGGGTACCGATTTTGGTTGAAGTACCCTAAAAATACACTATTGCTTTTTTCTCATGTTATTTTATGCAAATCTTAAATGTGGTTTTGTTTATATTTGTTGTTAATTTACGTCATTTAATTTGCATCTGCTTTGAACGTAAGGCTTTTTTTTTTATTTTTATTATTTTACAGGTATAAACTGGTTGTTGTTAATTAGAATCTTCTACTAAAAAAGTATCTTTTTTGACATTTTTCATTGTAAATTATCTTCTGCACATGAACAATCTTTTTTTATGGAGGAGCAGGAAAAAATGAGCACGGTTAACGGAAAGGTATGCATATACTTTTTTCTTTCTTTTTGTCTACGAGTAATGTTGTAGAGAAGATATGGAAAAAGATGCAGTAGTTGTTGAGGTTCTTTTTGTAAGGAGTAAGTGGGCTTTAAACATTCTGATGTTTTTTCTGTAGGTCGAATAACAACTGTTATTTGTGTGTGCCGTTACACAATACGACTGTATTTTGATGATCGGGGTTTGTAGATATCAAGTTTTTGGCGGATTCTGATTGTTTTTCAAGTATTAATAGGTATCAAATTAGTTTAACTTGATGTGTTGATAGCAGATTAAAACTTCCCGGCTTTTACGTATATTATTAGTCCTAAACTTTGAAGTCGCTTGGCTTGTGACGAATAAAAAGTCATTTGTTAATGTGTCATGAAGTGTAATAGACTGCTTGGCAAATTGTTAGTTGAGAATGCATGCTTGTTGAATAATCTTATAGTTTGTTTATATTTTGATTACGTTGCTACACCATTCTCATCTTTGTTTAATTATCTTTCTTCAGTCGTTCATTTTTTCTCTTTGGTCATGTTGCTACCCTTTCATTTAGTTTTTGTAGGCTTTTTAGATATGATGGAAAGCATAGCATTTGCGAAATTTTTTTGAACCTATTTTTCAGCCATCCAATATTTTTTTAAAACTTTTCTGTTTTTCTATGTTCATTTGGAATCAATACCTCTTAAGTCACGTAAAATGTCAGGGGAAATACCAGATGTATCGCGAGACGATGAGTATTGTTTTTTAGAATCCACTTAGTTGTTCGAAGACAGCTACGGTTTTCAACTTTCACTATTGATTTAACTATCAGAATAAAGTTGTTTTGCCGCTGTAGCTTCCAGCCTTTCGCTTTTTTCTGTGCAAAGCGGAGAGCATTGGTGATTTTTAGATAAGATATTTTTCAGAATAGTTTTGAAGTGGAAAATTACTATTTTTTGTGCAGCATTACTCCCTGAATAGTGTTGCTGTTAGTGAAATTATGTTGACCTCAAGGTTTTTCGCAGGTCCTTTTATTGTAAAGTTATTAATTAAAAAGGAGAATTTATGTTCTATCATCCATAACGTCTAATTAAACGGATATGCGGATTATACTCTACATTAATGGTTATTAGCCCGATGAGATGCTTTCCTGTGCTTTCCTATATTTACGATTAAGCATTTTTGATGTCGTTCACGATATCTGGTTATTTAATTTCATTTTCGTCTTTAACAGTGGGAACTGTTTTACAGATGTTAATAAAGAGAAACAGAATAGTATTTGTGTTTATATAATTGCTTATCCTAAAACAAGTTATGGCAGACAGTGCAGCAAAGTGGATGGACCAGTCTTACTATGAAGGGATTCCGCATGCGGAAGGTTCGTTTTTTCAGTAGCAGATAAGTTTCGCTTTTTAACGGTTTGACTCGTTGCTAGATTATTACTCCAAAAAATAGACACACTGCTAGCAGCAGTTTTTTTTGTAATTTAGGAGTTACCTGTGTATTAGTATTAGTCGTTTTCGTGCAATTTTCATTTTTTCGAATTACAGTAAATTGGGCGGAGTTGGCACAAAGCTGGATGGCAATGCAAAATGCTAGATCTAGAGAAGGAAATGGAGATGAAATCACAACAATCCCGCCTCCCCCACCTGTTCAGAGGAACCGGCCACGAATGGAAGTGCCATTACCACCACCAAATACACAGTTTTTACCGCCACCCATGTCTTTTTTTCCTCCATTGCCTATAGGTGATTTAAGTTTTAATTTTTCTATTTTTTATTTTTGAAAAAAAAAGGGGTGGTGTTTTATTAAAATAGTGGCTCATTTAAGGTTCCGTAAATATCATCAGTTTCTTGCCAGAGAGATGGCTTTATTTTTTCATTTAGATCCTAGTAATTTTGGCAATCCACCCGGTGGTTGGGCGCCTCCACCGCCAGGTAGCTTTCCTCCTGGTTCAGGACCATTTCCGCCATTTGTGCCACCTCAACCGTCTTGGGCTAATACTTCTAACGCTTCTTTCCGGCCATCAGGGCCTATAAATTCTTCATTTCCACATCCAGAAACGACAGAGAAAGATAATGCGGATGTAAGTTTCTTTGTTCGAAACTTTCCTGTTAAAAACCAAGTCCCTGTGAGGCTTCAACCTCTTTCGTCAAGTCAGCAGGGGTATGTCTTTCGTATTTTTTTCATGGCAGGAAAGTTTCTTGTCATTATTGGTGGTTATAGTATCCTGATTGTTATAAAAATTGGGATGATAAACAGAAGGCAGACCAGAAGCAGTATGACAGTGAAACTGAGGACTCTAGTGGTATCCCACAAGGAGCCATGGCGCATTGGTTAGCTCCTCCGAATCATTGGAGCCCTCATGGAGACTGGGTAAGACGCGGTCAAGAAGGGTCTAACATAGATATGTCTTTTATAGGTACGGGTATCTACTCTTTAACATTTCTAGTTGTAACTTTTGTCATTTTTTATTTTTACTTTCTTTCAAAGTTCTATCATTATCAGATCAGAGAACTCGTAAGGCCCTCCCGGCATGGATCCGTGAAGGTTTGGAAAAAGCAGAAAAGGAAAAGCAGAAGAAACTGGAGAAAGAAATGAAATTACGTGTTGCAGAAGAAGCTGTGAAAGCACGTCGACTATCGAAGGGACTAGGGAAATTTGTACGTTTCTTTTTTTTCTAATATTTATCTGTATCTTTTTACTCTTTTTCAGAGTTATGTTGCATTCGGAATTAGTAATCGAAGCTTTTACATGGTGAGTATGATGCTTTATTATTTTAAGGACAGTGACAGTAGCGATGAAGAAAGCGAAAGGAAAAACGACAAAAGTAGTAATGGCTTCCAGCATGATGGTGAGCCAATTTTCTTGCAGAAAAAAATGGCAAGTAAAACCTCATTGAACGAAAAAATTGAAGCACATCACGTTGGGCAGGAAGATGAAGTTGATTTACGTAGTGAGGAAGAGAAACGAGAAGACGCTGTAAGTTGAACTTCACTTAATAGTTCATTTTTTAGATTATCAAACTTGTACACCTTATTTGTTAGCAATACTCTTCAAGAGTAAGGGTGTTTTACAACAGACAATGACTTCTAAATGTTTGTATGTTGCTTTTTTTAAGCTGCTACTTCTACGCCGCTTTATGACAGAGGTATTATTAACTACTACGGATACAGAGTTGCAACGTGTAGCTGAAGAAGTAATTGGAAATGCCAAACGTAAAAATGGTACTTATGCCCATTTTTTCTGTTGTTTAGTTATTTCAATTCGTGGTCGTTGTACAAAATGGTGGTTGTGGCTAGTTCACTTGGAACAGGAAGTCGCAATATTTTTTATTGTATTATATAGAGTAAAAGACAATTACTATTGAGTTTTGTCAAAATTTAAAGAATTCAGTATGACAAAGCTTGCTACTGCAAAGAAATGCAGAGTCTTACTCTGTTTGACGGGTTTTTTTGTTAGTTTTATTCAGACAGGACAATAATTTTTAATTCTCGTCATTTACTGAGTTCTTTGGTTTGTTTGTTCATATTTATTTTCACTGGTTCTAGAGTTTTCGTTTGGTTGTTTGCGCATGAACAAGGTAATTTCTTTTAATTAGCTGAGGCGCTTCAAAATTTTAACATCGTACCAGCGCGTGACGACAACTTGTATTAACTCAAGTTTTCAGCGGCACTATTTTTATTGTCTTATACAGTTTGTATCTTTAGCTCAGCCAAAGATTCTCGCCAAAAGTTCGGCACTCGCCGCTTTATCTTCTCTTGGTAAGCAATTTCTCTTTTAAAAAGAGTAACTACTTGTTTTAGGTAATAGATTTCGTAAATGAACATCACAGTTTTTTCCTCCATCCTTGGTTGTTTGTTTCTTTTTCTTACTTTGTTTCATGATATTGGGTCTAGTGGAAAGTTTTGTGAATTTACTGGTGTGGATCTCATTGAGCATCGTTGTTTTGTGAAATTCTGAGTGCATCTTCATTTTCTGTCTACCTTGGGGTGTATTTGAGTTGAAAAATTAGTTTTGTACTCGAAGCTTTATCGGTTGCAAGAGAAGGAGAGTCTGTATTTTACATAACGGTTATTAGGCGTACAGCAAAAATTATTTAATTCATTAAAAAAAAATACTGTTTTTGGCATGGATCGGAAAAGTTTTTTACTACTATAGTTGCTGTTTTGAAATACAAAAAAAGAGCAGTGTCAGGCGTTCTGTATTAACTTCTAGGAGATGCCATTATTGGAACGTAATCATGCGAAAATAACGAAACTTTTTACTAGACCTAATAATTCTTCTTAGTATACATTTAATTCCCTATTACTTTCCTTCTTTGGCTAGCATTGACGGTTCGAGCTTGTTTGTCTGTCACTCGTGTTTTACAATAACGGATGACTTTCGTCAAGTTCAATCGTCCTAGTCGTTGCATTCCAATTGCTGGACTTCACACACGATATCTTCAATATAATTTTGATGCGATAATGGGAAAAGTTTGTATGCACAGTAAAGTAAAGTGCTTTTCTCTAGGGACTGGAAGTGATGAGGAGAGTGACGATGAGGGGAATAAAGGCCAGGGTGGTGCCGATGGGGACGACGAAAGAACACCGTCACCGAAGACCTCTGGTAGTACGGAACCAGCGAGTGTTAATAGCGATGTCTTCAAAGCACCTTTGCCTGTGAGGCAAGTTGGTGCAAAGAGTAAGAGCAAGTTAAGTAGAAATGATGATGGAAACTCTGCTACTCAAATACCGAAAGGTAATCGCTAGGCATCTGTACTTTTCCCGAGAGAGCTGATCACAAATACAAAGGTTTTCTACATGAAGCAAAATAAGTTTTCGTTACTGAATGAGAAATAAATCAAGTCACAGCAACTATCATTATTAGAATTGATTTTCGTTCTAAAGTTTTAGCGAAGTTATCCTAAAATAATATATAGAATATTTTTTATTTTATGGTACTTGTGTTTGGTGCAAACAATTTTTGAAGTTTTTTGCAGTCATTTCCGGAATTGTTATTTGGGAGTGGTAAATTTCTTTTGGAAATGATGCCTTATCAATATTTTAGGGGGTAAAAAAAATTTATCTGAGGATGACGATGAAACTGAAGGCAAGTCGGGACGTACTGCAAGCTCTTATCCGGGGACTGCTGAAACTCCCGGTAAGTATGCGATGTGTTGTAAAGAATTTCATTTTTGACAAACGCTATTTTTAGGTGTCAAAGACGGCTGTAAGAAAGAATCGCAACATGGAAGGGAAGTACGAAAGTCTTATGATAGGAGTAGAAGCCCAGAAAGAACCAGCGCATCGTAAGTGCTTTTTTGTGACCTTGCTGATTTTCCTTTGTTGTACTTGAGAACATGGGTAGTAAGAGGAGGCTGGTTTTTGCAGACCAAAGCGAAGGAAATCTAGAAGGCGATCACGAAGTAAAGAAAAGCGATTAGACACTCGTAAGAGCAGGTCTAGATCGAGTGAAGAACGCTCAAAGTAAGCATTTATTTTTAATAAATTGGTTGTTTTGGTGAATGTTGGAAATGTGCTTGGTATGCTTTGGATACTGCTAGATTTTTCTTTAGTTCTAGGAGCAGAAGTAGAAGCAGGTCGAATACCCCAGAGCGGTATCGGCAGAAGAAAGGCACAGACAGGAAACGTCATTCATACCATTCAAGTAAAAGAAGGTCTCGGTCAATAAATAGGCGTTCAAGAAGGTGATTCAGATTTGTGAAGTTGGAACGAAATTTTTCTGTATTAGACAATTTTGAGATCACGTTTATTTGTAATCGCGTCGCAGACGTGCTGTTGACAAATGCTTTTCTTTATTCTTGTATTTTCTGTTCTCTTTGAAGTCTTTTTATCAGAACCGAAATTTTAGATCTGATGGTCGTAAAAGGTCACGAAGCAGGAGCAAACGGTCGCGAAGCAGGGGAGGGCGGTCTCGAAGTAGAGAGAAACGTCGCTCGAGAAGTAGAGGAAATCGTACGGGGCGACGCTCTGAATCCTAAAGCTGATCAAGGACCTATGTATTTTTTTAGAGTTTGATCTCGAGTGCAGCTGTTTGTTGCTATGTTATAGTCGAAATTACAATTGTGAGTTTTTGGTTTCAATCACTTGGATTAAATTACATTCCGGTGGTTGTATTGATGTAATTTTTTGCGCTGCATTCGCTTTAGCTTTTGCTTTAAGTTGAAATTTTGGGACGAGTTTTTAGTTTTGAGTTGGTGAATGTTTCTTTAATGTTTTTAGTAGTGTATATATTTTTATATTCTTATTCTTTGCTTTTATGAGTTTACAAGCATGCTGCAGACGGTTTTTTTTTTGTTTTTATGACTTTATCTTCTGAACTCTCACCGTTTGCAGCTTTCCTTGTGCTGACTGGTAGGTGGTTATTAGCAGTGAGGTTCGCTTTATTTTTTTTGTTAAATCTTTGAGTCAGAGTAAGATTCGAAGAGTGCAAAGAGTTTTTAATGAAGTTTTTATGTGAAGTCTCTCAGAACGATTTTTTTGACTACGGGTTTACTTTCATTTGTGAGTTCTGTTTTTGAGTTTTGTTTTTCCTATTGCAATTGTGAAAGACTTCTCCGCTTGTTATAGTATCGATACGAATTTCGTTGTTTTTTTTTCTCTGGGAAACTGATGCTTTTTCAAGAACATCGAGGCTATGGGGATTAATTTTGCCGCTTATTGTTTCCCGAATTCAATGATCGTCCAATAAAAGTGTTATACTACCATTTGCCATTTTTCACAGCAAAAAACTGCGAGTTCATTGTTTTTTGTGTGGAAGGCTGGGAAATTTGTATTTTGCTGTTAGAAATATTTAAAATATGGTTTTGGTAGTTTAGACTTGCGAAGTTTCGATGGTGTCTGTAGCAAAAAGTCTGTGTCAGAGCAATAATCATGGAGTGGCTTGGTCTGGCATTAGCTAAGTTGTTGCACAGCAGCAGTGATTTTTTGTTGGTGTAGGAGGTTGGTTTGTGTATTTCTGCGTGGTTTAGTTGTGTTTGCTGCGGATCCAGCATGGTTAGAGGGCGTATGCTTTTTTTTTTTTT